AAGTGTGGCAGTGGTAGTGAGGTTGGCCCAGGATCGGACATTGTTTCGTTCTGCTGTGCATGGGGTCGCTATGAGTTGGTTCCGACTCGATGTCACCTGACAACAACAACAACAACATGGAGAGTGACAACACCCACTGTTTATTATTTAATTCAGAATGAAAACAGGGTTGGCAGGGAGGCCAGTTGAGCGGTTTATGAAGTAGACAAGTTGAGAGATGATGGCAGGTTGGAGAAAGGGCAGTAGTGGTTAAGGCAGAGAAAAGTAGAGTCCAGTAAAGTTTGAAAGGTAGACTATTCTGACATGGTGATGAACTAAATGCAGGGAGAGAAGGACGATGCAGAGGCAGCTCCCTGGTTTGAGATATTTTAGAGTTTCCATCCCATCTACACTTTTGAAAATATCAGAAATTTCCAAGCCTTTTCACAATTCTCCCTATCAATTGGAGAGGAGGAGCACCCAATCAGAGAATATAGGAGTTGAATAAGAGATGATCATAGTAGGCTTGGTGTGACCCTGTGGGTTAATGCACTGGACTGCAAGGTCAGTTTGAACTGTTAGTCGGTGGTTCAAGCTTACCAGCTGCTCTTTTGAAACCCTACACAAGGTCAGTATGACTCAGATTGACTCCACAGCATTTAACAACAACAATATGAGTAAAGAGTTAAATATAATTTGTGGTATTCTGTGTATAACTTCAATGTACTTCTCTTTTTTTCTTCTTGGGTATAAAAATAGGAGAACTCACTGTGAAAGAACCCAAGTTTCTTGATTTTGAAGTCAGAAGTGAAGTACAACTCATCATTGTAGCTGAAAGAGATGGGCATAGAGCATACAGCAAAGTAGTAGTCTTGATACAAGATGTGAATGATAACTCACCACGTTTTAAGCAGAACATTTACCATGCTTCAGTATCTGAAGGCTACTTCTACGGCGCTCATGTCATACAGGTAATAAGAATATGTTTTGGGGTGTTTTTTGGTCAATTATTATCATAAATGAAATTGTTAATGTGTCCACAGCCCCTATACAATGTTTAATGGATTGAAGGAAACCTTATATTGAAAGATGCCTCGATTTTCTGATTTTTGCTCTTCTTCCTCTTGATTGATTGAGTACTTGATTACTGCTCACCTGCTTTCTCTAGGGACTCCTTTAAGCATTAGTTGTGACTCTGAAGGGCATCATGTAGCTGACACATTGCCTTTCTGGTTACGGCAGCCATGTTGTTGTGATTAGTTGCTGTAGAGTTGATTCTGATTTACGATAACCCCATATGTGCAGAATCAGCTGCTTCATAGGAGATTTTCAAGGCTGGAAACAGTTCACCAGGCCTTACTTCTAAAACACATCTAGTGGGGTTTGAATTACCAACCCTTTGAATAGTAATCTAGCACTTAACCATATAGTGAGTATAGATTATTGACACCCAAAGCCCCCACTGATTCACTATTCTGGGAGACCTTCTATACAGACCCAGTAGACATGAAGGCCATTATCCAGCTCCAAATACAGAACCATTCATCTTCCTGGTGATGCCAGAGGGAACTGGGGATTACAAGCTTCCTGGTGATGCCACAGGGAACAAGGGATTACAAGATGGCTCTGCAGATGAGGTCCCTGGGTGCTTAAGGTCCCCTGAGAACTCTGCAGTAGTGTGAAGGGTGGGTTAAGAGGTAAGGAGGGTTAGGACATCAGTGTAGCAACCCAGGGGCTTAAGCTGAGGCTGAGGAAATTATTGTTGTTGTTAAGTCAGTTCCGACTCCTAGTGATCCAGTAAAGGGTTTCTGAGGAGCAACTGGTGAGTCTGAACCACCGACTTTGTGGTTCAAACTGACCTTCCAGTCCTGCACTTCTCTTACAGTGCCACACAAAAAAATGCAATATTTTGAAACAGATCTATCAACTTGTTGTTAAACAAGACCCTGAGCCTACAATATAATTAGTTTTGTGATTAGAATATAATAAAAACTATATAACTCCATGCAGAATGCCAAACTTTGTGTTATTTTCAATACTACTTTGATAACTTAATAATCAAATTCTAAATTTGTTAGCCCTAAATCCAGGTGTTGTATCCTTTCTTTAAAGATTACTTTAAAAATGATATTTTAAATACAATATTTAAAAATCCATCTATGGTCTAGTTTATAGGGAATACTTTAAGCAAAGAGTCCTGCTGTGGCACTGTTGGATAAACACTGGACTGCAAGGTCAGTATGAATTGCAAGGTTGGCTGTTCAAACTCACCAGCTGCTCCTTGGAAACGCCTATACAGACAGGGTTGCTATGAGTCAGAACCGACTCATAGCACTTAACTTTAAGCAAGGAAAAAAACCAACAACACAACAATTGAAAGGTATCATTCACTAAGTAAAAGTTTCCTACAATGTTTCTCCCCCCCACCCCCTACTTCCATCCTGAGTCCATATCCAGTACTAGAAACCTTCTATTCATGCAATTTAGATTTTTTCACAATTACTTTTTCTATTGAGCTAAATTAGCTCAGAAACATGTGCCCGAAAGTTACTTGGAAATCCTTTGCAAAATAATTTCCTCACCCTTCACCTACTTTATTATCAAATTAAATTTAGGTTTCAGGAACTTGTTGGTATTCCTTTAACCATTGTTCAGAAAATGTGTTTGACAATATGTAGTGCTTTCATAATGCACTGCATTTAAAAAACAATAAAAGCAGGTTTACACCATGTTGCTAATAGATCCTTATTTAACAGAAGAATTGGTTGCTCACAGGTTTTTGCTACTGACCCTGACAGCGGGTTAAACGGCCTCCTTGAGTATTCTATTCTTTCTGGCAACCAGAGAGACACGTTCCAGATTGACAAATGGACAGGTGTGATAACAACAAGTGTGAGTCTGGATTACGAGTCCACCAGCTCCTACAGGTTTGTCCATGATTCAGATCCCTTTGATCCACTATTCTACCTTTTATCTGACATGATTTTTGCTTTGGGCATGACTCTCTGTTATGTGAGTTTAGTTACAAAAATGCGCTTTCCTTTTGCTTAAGCTTATTATTTTGGTGAAAATATTTAACAAAATATACACCCATTCATTCATTTTTATGGTTCAGTGCCTCTAGTTACATTCTTCACCTTATGGCACCATCTTCTCTACTTCTACTCCTGTTGTTTCACCACCATTAAGTTTGACTCTGTATGTCCCTCTCAGTTCTCATCTGTGCTTTAGAATTGCTGTTGTCAATTTCAGCACCTATAGATAAATCTTTAAAAGAATGCAATTATCTAGGCTGATATTCATTATTAATTGAGCTTACTGTTTTTAACTTTAAACTACCATGGGGTAGTTTCACTTCAAGGCTGAAAGATGGTTTCAGGTCAATAGATCCAGGGGTTCCCATGAATTCCATAAGAATTTGATGTTCTGTTTCACATTTTCCGTCTTTAGATCAGAATCCATCTATTGGGTACTTGATCAAAATGTTCAGTAACAGTAGCTGGGCATCAACCATTTCTTTTGATCTCATAGCTAAGAAGGGAAGAGAACCTGCAGTCTGTTTCCTTGTCCAATTCCTGGCTCTCCTTTCTCTAATTCTCCAGGTGAATAGAGACCAATTATTTATACCTTGGGTTGCCACTCAGAAATATTTAAGACCCCAGGTTTACTCACCAAACTGGGAGGTAGAACAGAATCTCTGAAGCATTGGCATGCCAACGGACAGCAAAGACCCAGAAAGCTCTAAGTCTAAACCTTTGAGTCAAAAAACCTCACCACATGAAGTGTTTAACTATATCGAAGTGTATTCAGAAGTTCAACACCCCACCCCCCTTCGTCTTCTGGCTACCACTGTTCTAAAATTATATATAGCAGTATGTTGCCATTTTTTTCTGGTGTACACTTTAGTGATATAAATTTGTTTTTGTTGTCCAGTGCCAACTCATAGCAACCCAGTATAGGGTTCCCAAGTAATATCAATTCCATTAGTCAAATTTTATAACCATTACCCTTGTTGTTGTTAAGTACCCTGGAGTTCGTTCCGATTCATAGTGACCCTGCACAGGGTTTCCGAGGCTGTAAATCTTTACAGGAGCAGAACACCTCATCTTTCGCCTATGGAACCACTAATAGTTTCGAACTGCTGACCTTGAGGTTAGCAGCCCGATTTGTAACTACTACGCTACCAGAGCGCCTTAGTAGATGCCAATTTTCCCAATAGAATAGACAAACATTCACAACTTTCCTCTCCATTCCCACTCATGATACTAACCACTAGTAATCATTGGTCTCAATATATTTACTTCTTCTTGTCATTTCATGTAAGACCATACAATATTTGTTCTTTTGTATTGATTTATTTCACTCTGTATGTGTTTGAGATTTATCCATGTTGTTTTATGCTTTAGGACTTCATTTTTCTTCAAGGCTAAGTAGTATTCCATTGTATGATATATTCACATTTTATTTTTCCATTCATCTGTTGATGGGCACTTGGGTTATATTGATCCAATTTATGATTACCTTTCTATTATATTTAGTCTTTAGAAATTATTTACTGTTTGGAAAAAATGTGGTTAAGCTAGAGGAGCTTTAAGGTTTCCCTTCATTCTATGATTAGGTGAATTTATGGTACTACTAAGTACTATGTGAGAAATATTAAAAAAGATATATTGAGGGCTTGTGAGAGAATCAACTTGCCTTTGACTAGAAATTTACTACATCTCCCCTTGTAAGAAAAACAAAACCATAAAAAGAAATGACTAATTCAAAGCCCAAATTCTTATTTTTTGGATGTAAAATTTCCAGGTTGCTACTAGATGACCGCAGTTTTTAGCCATGCTCTGACAGTGCTTCTGTGTATAATTTGTTCACAATGTTGTGTTAGCCTGCAGGAGGAAAAGCCAGACTCACAGAAGGTTGTTCATTTAGAAGAAAGCAACCCTAATACTCCACACAGCTTGCTGAATTTCTGCATGTCACCGAAAGCTTTATAAGTCCAGTAATTCTAGTTATTCTATCAAGATAATAAATAACTAGTAAGCACTGTATTACAGTTTTCAAATAACACATGAATAGGTGTAAGCATGCAAATATAACATTGTTTATGGTACTTGATTGATAGCTGATGTGGAAAGAAATCATTTAAATTGGTATTTGATAGTCATGTAAACCCTGTAACATTTTGGGGTCTGTATCTTCTGAAGAACTTTAAATAAAAATGACCAAAAAAATTCTAGACAACAAAGAGTTAATTTAAGTGTTTTAAAAAATTAAATTTAAGTGTTTAATTTCTGTAGCATTATTACTCAAGTTATTGTAAGAAGCAATGCTAAGCTACAGCATACTATTCATTGCATGCTCATAGCCAAAACTGGGTATTCCAGAACACTTCATTGTGGTCATAAGGAACCTGTACATAAACTAAGAGGCAGCTATTCTAACAGAATAAGAGGATACTGAATTTGAATAGTTTTAAATCAGGAAAGGTGTGAGCCAGGGTTGTGTCCTTTCAACTTATTTATTCAATATGTATGCTGAGTAAATAATCTGAGAATCTAGATAAAAGTAAATATATTATTTTTGTGATGCCATGTAAAGTAGAATGTGGCATCAGGATTGAAAGAAGACTCATCAACAACCTGTGATATGGTAGATGGTACAACCTTGCTTGCTGAAAGCAAAGAGGACCGAGAATATTTATCGTACTGATAAAGAGCAAAAGCTACAGCCATCAGTATGGCTACACCTCAAGTGTAAAGAAAACAAAAATCCTCACAACTGGATCAAGAAATAAGATCATGATAATTGGAGAAAAGATTGACCTTGGCGAAGGCTTCATTTTGCTTGGATCCACAATCAACACTCACGGAAGCAGCAGTCAAAAAATCAAACGATGTATTGCATTAGGCAAATCTGCTGCACAAGACCTCTTTTAAAGTGTTCAGGAGCAAAATATCAGTTTGAGAACTAAGATATGCCTGACCCAAGCCATGTATTGTTCTGTTGTATATAGAGTTGCTATGAATGGGAACCGACACTACAGCAACTTGCAACAGAAAGTACAAATGGAAAGAGATGTTAATTATCTTTTCTAAAATGCCTGGTTTATAAGCAACAGGACTGGAATTGAACCCCAGTCTGTTGACTGGCAGTGTGCAAAGGAAGACACGGCCTTCCAGGCCAAAGCAAATGAAAGGGCATAGGCATGTGAAAATGTTTGGTATGTTTAGGAAGTAACCAGTAGTTCGGTAAGGAGCTCTGGTAGCGTAGTGGTTATGAATCAGGCTGCTAATCTCATGGTCAGCAGTTCGAAACTGCCACCTGTTCCACGAGAGAAAGATGAGGCTTTCTGCTCCCGTTAAGATTTACAGCCTCAGAAACCCTGTACAGGGTTGCTATGAGTTGGAACCAACTCCACGGCACATAACAACAACACGACGAGTGGTTCAGTAAAAACCTGGGAATCAGGTGAGTGTATGGTAATAAAAGAAAGGTTAGGTGCAAGGTTTGGTGGACATTACATGGTATAAAATAGAAATTGTACTTTATTCTGTAGGCTATATAGAAATGTTAACAGCTGAATGATATGCTCAGATCTTTGTTTAAAAAGAAATCTAGTTGTGAATGAATTGTACGAAGCCAACCAGTAATGGTAGACTGTAACTGTGAACAGTCTGGAATCTGGATGAATCAGTGGATATGGAAGGAAAGGACATATTTAAAAGTTGATTCAGATATGAAATCCATATTAAACTGGTGCCCGGTTGAATGTATTGACAAAGGAGGAGGTAGAAAATGGGCCTGAAATTTCTAGTTAGGCAAGGCAGGAAGAAGAATGAATATCAGAGTTAAGATTTTTGTTCTGGATGCATTGAGTTTGAAGGACCAGTACAAGAGCAACAGTGAAGACACTTATTAGGCATGTGAGAGCAATAATTTGGAGTTCAGCCATGGGGTCCAACTCAGTATATAGATTTGGCAGTCATTCAGAGAGAATATATAAAATGTGACTACTGGGAGAGCGTATGTAAAATGGTAATTTGGGGGATTATCACCACTTGGAGGCTAGATAGGGAAATTGTTGCTGTGATCAAGTCACTTTCAACTCATAGCAAGTCTATATATAGGGTTTCCAAGTAGTATCCAAGTAGCAAGTCTATATATAGGGTTTCCAAGTAGTATCTGGGACTCCAGATGGATAAATTGTTGTTGTTGTTAAGTACTGTTGAGTGAGTTCTGATTCATAACAAACCTTCAATATTGCAAGTTGATGCTTGAGTTTTTTTTTTCTTCAATTCTTTTAGTTTGAGAAATGCTAAGCATGTTCTTGCTTTTTAGTTTTCTATCTCCAGATCTATGAAAGGTTTACAGTTTCATAAACCCTATATGGGGTTGCTGTGGGACAGAAACCACCACTCAGTGGTCAATTTGACATAATGTATTGATGGTTGATGCAAGCATGAAGTCTTTGACAACTTCAATCTTTTTTCCATTTATATGTATATTGTTTATTGGTCCAGGGATGAGGATTTTTGTTTTCTTTTCATTGAGATGTAACCCATATCAAAGGTTGTGGTTTTTTATTTTCAACAGTAACTATCTTAATTCCTCTTAACTTTCAGCAAGTAAAGTTGCACCATCTGCATATCTCAAATAGTTAATGAGTCTTCCTCCAAATCTGATGGCCACATTTTTTATTCATGTAATCCAGATTCTCAGATTATGTGCTCATTTTACAGATTGAATAACTATGGTGAAAGAATACAACTCTGGGATAGTCCTTCCCTAATTTTAAATCTTTCAGCGTTCCCTGTTCTGTTCGAACAACTGCCTCTTGGTCTATGTACAGGTTCCTCATGAGCACAATTAAGTGTGCCAGAATACAAATTGTCTGCAATGTTATCCATGACTTGTCATGATTCACACA